TGGGTGGGGGTGGGGAGGGGAGGGAGTAATTGCATTTAAATTTATTCATATCAGAATTCATGCAGTGCGTTAATCATGTTACATAGAGAACATAGAGAGATAGATGAATATACAGATATATAGATAGATAGATACACAATAAAGATAGACAAATAATTAAATAAATGGATAAATAAAAATAGACAAATAGATTAAAAATATATAGATAGATAGATAGATAGATAGATAAATAGATATAAAGATAGATAGATAGAAACGAAGAACAGTAGACTGCCTGGGAAGCCAGGTTTGAGTCCCGTTCTTCTTTCTCCGCCCAATATATTTCCAATCATCGATCCTGGCCTCTGATTGGTCCAAACATTTTCCGATCAGTAATCCAGCTCTCTCATTGGTCAGGAATATTTCCAATCACCAATACCGGCCCAGTATTGGCGCTCTCGGGCCTTCCATTATTATCGTGAGAAATACGTAAAGTTTCAATATCATTTTTAAATACGTATGTTATGTTTAAATGCTTTATCTCAATGAAATTATTAATTTTTATTTTTGTTTTGTTATGAAATACCTTTTAGGATAATTTCATGATTATTTTCACCCTGTCGCGTTCTCAGAATTAATAAGTAATTTTTTAGCGTGCACAGTCGCGCGTTTAATACTGTGTGCACAAACCATTTTTTCGTTGAATCAATAAAAAATGGATAATTATGTGATAAAGGTGCAACTTATTCCAATGAAATGCATTTGTACGTAGAAGCTTATTGTGATACGTGGAAGCGTAAATATTTTTCGCCTAATTTATCACAATATATTCAGTAAATTATATAATTCAGAGAAATGATAATAATGAGTGTAGAGAGAGGAAATAGGATGGAGGAGGAGGGAGGGGAAGAAAGAAGGGGATTAGTGGAAAGTCAAGTTTTTGCGTACAAATGACTGCGTAACTACAGAGTATACGCAGCCCACATCAATCAAATCTGTCCTAGCACAGTTCACTAGTTCAAAACCATTCAA